GGAATTTGGGCAAATGCGGTCTTAGGAAACCCGACCATTTTCATAAACCCCGCCATCTTGTCTGGCGTCATCAACGATTACGCTTTAGTCATCGATTTCTTCTCTGAAATAACCGTTCCTTCTTCTCAACAATTCAAAGTGAAAACCTAGACCTAGAATTAGGATTTCTACTTGACATTTGCCAAAATTAACTAAGCAAACAGAGAATTGAAGTAATTACCTGTCGATTGAGATTATTTTGAGCTTGAATTTAAGAGCACTCTCAATGGTGAGAGTTTTTTATGCTCATGAGCATTTTTATGGTGTAAAAAAAATACTCACTAGTCACAATGGTGAGGAAAATCAAAATGGGAAAGAAATGCTCATGAGCATTTATCAAAAAGCTCAAAACTTGAGCTTTTTTTCTGATGAACAGTAGTAGAGGTGGGCCCCACACGCGTCAGACCCACTTAAAAAATTCTGCTGCCTTCCCCATCAAAACGACGCGTTTTGATGAAGCTTCCTCAAAGGCAATCCTCAAAACGCGTCGTTTTGAGTAGCCAAAAAAAAAAAATATAGGTGGCTGACGCGTGCAGGAGGTTGGCGAATGGGGATGAGACGCGTGGCAGGTGTGCAACAGTAGCCAATCAGGTTGAACTAGCCGTTTTACAACGGTTAGTTTTGTATTTTGTAATTTCTGAAAAAAAAATTTTGTAAAAAAAAAAAAAAAAATACCAACGGCCATAAAATTAAATTCTCTATAAATAGACATGCATTTTGATATATTTTGATATAATTTCGTAAACACTTAAAAATCCTCCAAAATTTTATTTTCTTAAAAGTATTTGAAATTTGTAGAAGAATATTGTTGTTGCAATTAATCCATATTGAGGTAAAAAAAAATTTTAATTTTTATTATCAGTTTTACAATATAAGTAGTATATATGTGATTTTTTTTAAAAAAAAAAATTGTAGGCCATGTAATTTTTTGCAATATGTAATTATTAACAACGTTGTTTATATTTTGTCCATAAATTTCTATATTTGTAGTTATTAAAGTGTTGTTGCAATTAATGGTAAATTTTTGTTGCTATATATAAACGTATTTTAGTATTTACTTAATAAAATTAGTATATATGTAAGTTTATGGAAAACAAAAATTGAAGGCCACGAAATGAAATTGCAATTATTGGCTAATTTTTGTTGCTATATATAAATGTAGTTACATAATAAAATTAGTATATGTTTGTTTTAATATGTACATGTAGTTATGTGTTAAAATTAGTATATATGTTATTTTGTGGAGAAAAATTAAATATTGTATGGCATGTAATGTATATATGTTATTTTTGTTATTATATGTTATTTTTGTTGCTATAAAGTTGTTGATATTTTTGTTATTTTTGTTATCAAATTAATTTGTTTAATAAGTAGTATATATGTTATTTTTGTTGCTATAAAGTTGTTGATATTTTTGTTATTTTTGTTATCAAATTAATTTGTTTAATAAGTAGTATATATGTTATTTTTGTTGCTATAAAGTTGTTGATATTTTTGTTATTTTTGTTATCAAATTAATTTGTTTAATAAGTAGTATATATGTTATTTTTGTTGCTATAAAGTTGTTGATATTTTTGTTATTTTTGTTATCAAATTAATTTGTTTAATAAGTAGTACATATGTGATTTTTTGATGCAGAATCTTTGAATGGATCCAAACAACCCAAATTTCCGTCAACAATTTTCGGGTTATAGTGATGATTTCCTAACTAATCCCGAGTTTCAATTGTTCTTGCAAAGAATGGGCAATATGTCGTCCCAACCACCTCCACTGCATCAGACACCCACTGAGGTTCCCCTACAAAACCTTGCGAATGAAGATCGTACACCTGAAACTGATCTTGGTAGTAACACAATGTTCGATGAGAGCGAAGAGGAAAGCGTACCAGAGACGCCGCAGTATCCTCCTCCACCAGTTCGCTTGTTGGAACCCAACCAGGTTCCTGCACGAGCTACCCGTGTTTGGTCTGTGGCGGAAGATGAAGCTCTAATTGGGTTGTACTTGCAGATTAGCGAGGATGCTATTAAAAGTACAAGCCAAAAAGCAACTACCCTATGGCGCAATGTACACGAAGCATACCAAACTTTGCATACGCAGAAGCCGCATATAATTCCGCCAAGGCCTATTAAGAGTCTGACGTCGCATTGGAGAAGGTTGGCAGCGGACACACTGCAATGGATATCTTGCTATGATGAAGCAGGTAGACTTCCGGAGGGAGGGAGTGGTTACAATGAAGCTGATCGTATGAAAAGTGCGGCGAAGCTTTTTCATGTCGCCCAAGGTCGCAATTTCACTTTTCCTCACGCGGTTGAAATGCTTAACAAGGACCCAAAGTGGAGACCAAAGCTAAGATGGTCAATGTCCTTGAAGGAAAGAAAAGCCGCTTGTGATGCTGAGGAAGAAGGTAGTGATGGAAGTGGGAAGAGGTCCAGAGGTGATGTAGAGGCGGATACCCTTACAGATGGTTTTACCATCTGGCGGTTTACAGCGACCCGAGGGTGTCAAGAAGGCAAAGGCGAAGCGTATAGGGAAAGCAGTACCAGCAGAAAGTGGTTCGTCTGAGCTTAGCGAACGAATGAAGGAATTCGCTTTAGTTTGCGAGAGGGAAGCCATACTGAAAGAAGAGAGGATCAAAATTGAAAAAGACAAGGAACAGAGGAAAAGGGAGGAACTTGACTTTCATAAGATGAAAACCTGGTTTGATATGTTGCAAGCTCTGAAGAATTCTCCTACGCCACTCACATCTGAAGAAGAGTCGTACAAGAATTTTTTACTGGGTAAATTACAAGGCCTTTAAGCATGATTGGTTGTAGTCTTTTATTTGTTAAGCGTAATTTAGTCTTTTATTTTGAAGTTGTATTAGTGGTGTGGTTAATCTCAATGTAAGATGTACACTTGTATTCTGATTTTCCAATATTGAATGACAAGTTGTTTAACAAGTTGATTTAAGTTTCCAGTCATACCGACATAATTGCTTTAAATCTTTGTCACTGTACAGCCACGTTTTCCTATATTCACTTTATCAGAATGCTTTACCTTTGTGTCATTGATACCGACATTATTGCACTCAAGACTTGTCACTGTCAACTAGCATAGTATACCTATTCCGTGGTTGAAAATTTGATTCCTGTACTTGGTGTGGTCATTCAGTTTTGTAACCGCATATTCATTTGATATTTTTGCTATATATAGTAGACATGGCACATATCCACAACCACACCCCTTCATCAAGTAACTATATTAATACGAGATGTATTCCAGACCATCATCAAGCTCAAGTTCAAGATCATCTTCTTCAAATACTGAAGAATATGACCAACTTGTTGATGAACTCTTCACATACCAACCCCCATCTGTCCTCATGCCCCAAACACAATCCCAACACTCTTCAAAAAAACCTAGAGGGGGTACGAATAGAAGAGATAGGGAAATTGGACATGCCAGGTTGTTTAATGATTACTTTTCCGATAATCCTGTGTACAACACCACCCAATTTAGAAGAAGATTTCGTATGCAACGACCTTTGTTTGTACGTATAATGAACAAGGTCGTTGAAGGTGATGTTTACTTCCAGCAGCGTAGGGATGCAGCTGGAAGGTTAGGTTTATCACCTCTGCAAAAATGTACAGCGGCGATAAGAATGTTAGGCTATGGCATGGCTGCGGACGCCGTGGATGAATACGTTCGGATCAGTGAGTCAACCGCTCGAGTTGCCCTTCAACGTTTTTGTACTGGTGTCATTGCGCAGTTCGGAACCGAGTACATGCAAAACCCTACAACTGATGAATTGGCCAGAATACTGCATCAAAATGAACTGCGTGGTTTTCCAGGCATGATAGGCAGCATTGATTGCATGCATTGGGAATGGAAGAACTGTCCAACGGCATGGAAAGCGCAGTACGCCGGTAGGAACAAGAAAGCAACGCTAATACTGGAAGCCGTTGCAGATCAGGATTTATGGATATGGCATTCCTTCTTTGGGATTCCTGGATCTTGTAATGACCTAAATGTCTTATACCGTTCCCCAGTGTTCGATGAGGTTCTGCATGGTCGAGCTCCTCTGGTAAATTTTACCGTTAACGGCCATGAATACAACATGGCATATTACTTAGCCGACGGTATTTATCCGAAGTGGGCAACTTTTGTTCAGGGTATCACAACCCCTCAACTTCAAAAAGATAAATTGTTCGCTGACCACCAGGCTGCTGCTCGAAAGGACGTTGAAAGAGCATTCGGTGTTTTGCAAGCTCGATTTGCAATAATACGAAAACCGTCACTGGCGTACGATGAGGACATACTGCGAGACATAATGAAAGCATGTATCATTATGCACAACATGATTGTTGAAGATGAGCGCCACAACTACACTCGAGCCGAAGTTCTAAGAGCCTTCTACGAAGAAGAACAACAAGAATCAACACCAGCATCAACATCTACAACGCCACCGTTTGAATTCAACGTAGGCCGACCTACAAACTTTGACTTCAACGCATTTCTACAGCAAAAAGCTTCCCTCCGTGACAGAGAAATTCATCTATCTCTGAAACGTGATTTAGTCGAACATATTTGGCAACGATACGGGCCACGTAATTAGGGAGAAATTAGACGACTTAAATAAAGCCAAGTACTATGGCGTAGCCACTTTTACGTACGCAGCCGAGTTAATTTTTAGTTGTTGTGTTTATTTTATTTCCTATGTTTAATTGCGCATGACGTTGCAAATGTAATTGTTCTCTAGTATTGTACCGCTTTTAAAATAAATAAAAACATTTAACAAATTATGAGTTTTTTTTTACAATTTTTTTATATAACGTACTTAATTTTACGACAAATTTTAACAATAAAAAAGACAAAAATAAAAAAAATAAGTTACACAAATTTAAACTAGTTTTTATTTATTTGGAGTAACATTGTTAAAATATAAATGAAATAAATAAATAAAGAAGTGTTGTGTAGGAGAGAGAAAGTTATGGTGGGGTATTGAAAAAGTAAGAGAGAGATAGTGGTGGGTGAGCATTTTTTTTGCTCACCATTGGGAGAGGAAATGTGGAAAAAATTTGTCCATGAGCAAAATTGATTTGTTGAGAGAGAAAGTGGGTAGAGAGAGAGTGGGTGAGCATTTTTTTTGCTCACCATTGAGAGTGGTCTAAGAGTCACCGCCTTCCGCCGCTTCAAATTCCACTGGAAACTTCCTGCGCAAGAGTGAGAAAGAAGAGAGCAGTAATTTTTGGGAAGCGGGAAGTGTGTTGCAGTAATTTAATGTGGGAAGTAACGGTTAATTGAGTAGTGGGAAGTTGTAGTAACTTCTTGAACTAGTGCGCTAGGTTGAAGGATGATTGTGCCCCTGGAGAGTTAGTTTTTAATTTTTTGTTTTTGTTTTTTGAATTTATTCTATTTTATGGTTTTAATTGCTAAACATGTACATAGCTGCCCATATTAAGCAATTAGGGGCAAATTGTTATGGGTAAATTTTAGGATTTTTTTTGACAATTACCACCTACAATTGTTGTTATTTTAGCAATTACCACGTTTAATTTTTATTTTTTTTTTGAATTTTACCATCTACTATTTTGAAAATATCAAAATTTCCCACCTACTTGGCTCTGAACTGAAGTGTCACTACTACAAAAATGGCCTAAGGAACCACTCTTAAAGCACCATATAAATCACTAATCCAGTTTCTTAGATAAAGAAACCTTACAGGAAAGATATCTGGTTTCGTAGATGAAAAATAAGAAACCATACATCATAAAAAACCAGTTTCAGATAAAGAAATCTCAAATTAGAAATATTTGGTTTCTTAGATGTTTAACTAAGTTACCACACATCACTAAAATTCGGTTCTTTATTTTTCATTTAATATTTAATTGTAAAAAATGTTAAAAAAAAAAAAAAAAAAAAAAAAAAAAAAAACCTAAACTACCTTGATATTAACCGCCCCCTTCCCCCATTTCTCTAATCCTCTTCGCCATTAACGAAATTGCCTCACAAATACAGGCCTCCCCTATCCCCTATTTCTACTATCTCAGAGCTTCTCCAGCTTTCTCTCTCCTTGCCAACAATGGCGGAGAAACCAATTCTCTCTCATCGGCGAATTCTGTTTCGAATTCTCTGAGTTTTTCTTCGGTCCGATTTTCTTCGCCGGCGAAAAACCCTAACAATGGCGAATTCTCCGTTTCTGCGGCGGCGCCGGAAGCTAACAACCGTCCTTTGACCGGCGTCATTTTTTGAGCCGTTTTAGGAGGTTAAGAAGGAGCTCTCTATGGTTCCTACTGTTCCTCAGGCTTCTCTTGCTCGTCAAAAGTATGCCGATGATTGTGAATACGCCATTAATGAACAAATCAAGTAATTCTCATTTATCTCCCTCTGTTCCTAAGAATGAAATTTCTCACTCCATTGATTCTCTCTCATATCTTTTTCAATTATAAATCCTTGACAGATTACTACCTCTAACCAACAAATCTGACGCTTTCTCGCTGTCGTCTTCGCATCGCACCGTCATACCCCTACATAGGTCATCTACTATCTCCTTGGATTTTCCGGTAAGCCCCTTTTCAATCTCCAACTTTGTTTTATTTAATCTTTATTTTACAATCCTTTTTATGTTCGATCTCTTTGTCAATTTTTGAAATTAGATACTTAAAAATGGGGATTCTAAAATGTTCAGTAACTTAGTTGGATTAGAAGGAACCCCAAAACAATTATGTTTTTAAATTGTACACTGCAATTTTCAATAATCGTTTGCCTAGAATTTTATGTACTATACATGATTTCATTATTACCTTTTTAAATTCAAGTTTTTTACACAGTTTAGTATTGATTTTCTTTTCTTGATTGAATTCAATTGATTTATATATATATCATTATATTTTTTTGCAGTATAACAAACATTGAATTTGAACAAGTCAAATTAAAATGGGATATTGCAGACATGCGGTTGAAGGATGTGAAACGGAGCAGACATAGTGCTTGAATCTGGTCAAGATTAGTGTTATAATTCATGTAATTTGATTTGCTCTGATCAATGAAATATTGAGTTTATTTTAATCGTCAATTTTTATGTGTAATGGCGTCAATATCATTCTTAGGAATATGATTTTAATAGAGTACCTTTTTTGCATTATTTTTTTTACAATTTTTTAACAAGTCAATTGTAATTACTCATAGAACCGATTCCTATCTTTTAGTTGGACAAATAGTACTGATATACTTGTTGAGTTGATTCATTGGCAAAAAATAATAACCATTTGATTTTTTTTTTATTTTTTAAATAGCAAAGATACCGGTTATCTCTAGAAACTGGTTTCTTAGACTGGGATCAAAGAAACCGGTAACCAAAAAACATTCGATGCCTAAAGGAAGAACCAGTCTCTTTGCATGATCTTAGAAACCAGGTAAAAAACACGGTCTCTAAGCTAAGCTAAGAGACCTACTACCTAGGCACCGGTCAATTTATGGTTTCTTAGACATATTTTGTCCGGTTTCTTAGGCCATTTTTCTAGTAGTGTGTGATGTTATATGGGGCCTACTAACTACTATCTCACCCAATTTCCCTCCTTTTCTTTCTTTCTCTCTCGATTTCTCATTCCCTTATATTATACTCCTCTCATAATTTGGGAAAAACTTCAAATTAAATTACATATTCATGTTAATTATTTCACGAATTGAAGTTTTTCCTCAATTTTGAGAGGAGTACAATACAGGGGAATGAGAAATCGAGTGAGAAAGAAAGAAAGGGAGGGAAAAATGATGGGAAGGTAGTTAGTGGGCCCCACATGATGTCACATTTGAGTTGAGAGCCAAGTAGGTGGGAAGTTTTGATGTTATTAAAAATAGTAGATGGTAAAATTCAAAAAAAAAAAAAAAAAAAACTGTAGGTGGTAATTGTCAAAAAATCCTAAATTTTAAAGTAAGTCAAAGCCAACAAGAGTCAACGACAAAGAGTGAAGATTGACGACCAGCCCAGACTCGACGGACGAAGCGAGAGTAACGACTCTCTTATTTTCTAGGAAGAGATAGGTTTGAGAGACTAAGTCTCCTATCATCAGAGTCAAGCCGTTATCAAGCTGGGAGAAGTGCCACGAATCAAGGAGTTAGTTGCCGAGAATTAAGGAGTTGATCTTATCATTCTCCAACAGCTACATTAAACCCTAGGCATCATCTATATATAGGAGAGGAAGCATTGACGTTAGACACATTGCAACCTAGCTACTAAATACTCACTGATCATATATTGTAATCATTCTCATTCAATCGTTTTACATAGTGAAAGTTTGATAGATCCTCATTTTACCCGCGGTTTTCACCTTCTTTGGGTTTTCCGCATCACTAATTCCTTGTGTCATTTATTTATTTCGTTATTGCTTTTCTTAAAGGTTTTATTTAGTTGATCCGTAACCTAGATTTTGTTACTCAATCCCACTCTATGAAATTTAGCCAGTGAACAAGGTAAGCACCTGTCCAAGTAGCTGTAGCAGAACCCGAACGTTGACCGCCATAGAGGGCAGTAATAAGCATACTTGTGACCTCTGTAACGGTTGTGGCACGACCATCTTTATACTTCGAGTTAATAAGACTATGCAACATGTCATCCTCGGATTTTGGAGATGATCTACGAGAAGTTATTACGTTTGAGAAAATATCATCTAGTTTTTTACGTGCTTTGTCGCGGCGCCAGTGAGGTGGGGTGGGTAGATGAGGGAACATCGTAGTAAGATGTCCTGATTATATAGCTGATAGAAAGTCTACTATTGATAAGTGTAAAATTCTAAATTTTCTGATTAAAAATTCAATGTATTAAATATTTAATTTTCACTTTTTCATGTTATTGTGCTATCATACTGTAAGGCTTACAAGTCTCTACATCACAAATTGATCACATTCTTTTTTGCTTTAAACTTTCTCATAGCTTATCCGTTGATTTTCTTTAGTAATTTCTATAGAAAAGTGAAAGGATCACAATGGTAATGGAATAAACATATTAATACTCTAGAAGGGGGGGGGGGGGGGGGGGGGGGGTTGAATAGAGTATGGGCGTTTTTCGCAAAACTGAAAATGTCAAGGCCTTGAGATCAGTTACAGGGCGGAATAAACTGATCTCTGTTTTATAAATCAAGACTTTGAAAACTATTTAAAGTAAACCAGTTAGTAAGCAGAAGGTTATAAACGTTTGTTTTGGATTTCGCTAAAACTGTTTGAAACAAAGAACGAAAATAAGAACAAGGCAAAAAATAAAAACAGAAATAAACACAAGGAATTGTTACGAAGTTTAGCACAAAGGCCTACGTCTCCGCCTAGGGTTGTCCAACCCGTAGGATTTTAACCAACTTTTATTTTTTCCCTTAGAGTTCTAAAGCAACCTAGAAGATCTCACTATCTTCTCTTTGTAGTACTTCCCACTACACCTTAGACACTCAAATCCTAGAAATAAAAGCTAACACACTCAAATAACTTCGAGTATTATAATTTTACTACGAAGTGTATCACTCAAAATTACAATGTTTAGCACAAGTGAACACTCGTATTTTTCCCTCACTTTTAAATAATAAAAAGTAGTAAACAATGAGAGAATTAAAGCTCTTAGAATAGCACAAGATTTCTTGAAAGACTTGGATAATAAAACCGGCTGATCTTCATGCTATTTATAAGCCTTTGAAGCTGACTTTAAAACGTTGCCAGCAGTCTCTGGGTCTTCAACAAATTCCAGAAATTTCGAAGCTTTCAAAATTAAACTTCAAAGCTGTATTTTAAATTCAACGTTTATCTTCCAGCTAGAAATTTGTTACAGCATACTTAGCTTCCTAAAAACCAGGTCAGCAAGCACAAGTAACAGCAATATTTATCTTAAACAGAAAACTTATCATGTCAGCCAAATAATAAGATAGATAAATAAATACATTTGACAGAAAATTATCTTTACAACATAAAGATAAAATCAGTTACTAAAAAAAATAATAAAATATAAACATGCTTAGCAGAATATACGAATAGGTTAGCATACTTAGCAGGATATATTCGAATATAAATTGACAGAACCATAAAATAAACTAAGATAAATAAACTAAGCATATTAGTATATTAAATAAACATTGACTATTCATTTTGACTTCCATCATCCAATATAAGACTAAGTAAGAAAATAAACGAAACAACAAGGTGGAGTCATCAATCTCCCCCTTGATGGAAGTCAAAACCTGTGACAAATAATAAAGAGAACAAGTATGATTAGAGTAAGATAACATAAGAAGCATAAATAATAACCATCATAAAATTTCCAAAAACTAACTAACACACAAACACAGGTGTTCTCCCCCTTTTTGACATCCAATCAAGGGAGAAAATGTCTGGAACAAAGTTTTGAAAATAACTAAAAAACAGAAGTTTAAAGTTATTACAGACCAAAAGAAACAAAATAACTTTTAAAAAACATCAAGGCCTTGAAAAGCAGAAATACGCCTTGAGTCCTGCAACTCCCCTGCTCAACCAGCTAACTGAGCACTGATTTCATCAAGTTTTCTCTCAACGTCTGCAAACAATGAGTACATGGATTGACGAAGATCCTCCATGCCAAATTCCAGAGCTTGAAGTTTTGAAGCAGGATTAAGAATATCAGCTTTGGGTTTATAGGCAGAGGGGATGGCAGCAAGCTCTTCATCAGAGAGGTCTGAGATGAACTTCCATGTATCCCTTCCAACCCTGAAAATTCCGATTTTGTTGAAGAGTTCCAGGCCCACACTAGGAGTAGTAAGACGATCTACTTCCTTTGTGTGAACTGGAACAGCAAAATAGTCGAAGATTTTTGGCAAAAGATTGGCATAAGGAAGGGTAGCAAGACGAGTAGAGTTGTAGATGTGAGACATATATGTGAGAATAACGGAGGGCAGATCAAGAGGATAGCCATTGAACAGAAAATACAGAATTTCAAGGCATTGATCAGTCAATAATTCCCTTGAATTAGATCTGGGCATAATAGTTCGAGTTAGAAATTGGAAAATGATCTTAGGTTCAAGATCAAGAGAAGAATGAGTGAGCTGCTTTGAGGTAGGAGTATTAGGCAAAAGAAATTGAGACCTAGCAGCAGTAATACAAGAAAGACGAGAAGGAAAGGACTTATCATACACAACAGGAGCAACCCCCAAAATTTATGCCAGAATCTGATTAGTTAATCTAATTTTGATTCCTTTAACAATTGACTCAATTGAAGGCCCCTCACTAGAATTAAAAAGAGTCATATTAAGATAACATAAACGAGTGAGACGAGGGTATGCAAAATCAGGCAGAGAAGCAAGATGAACAAGAGAAGACTCACGAAATAGCTTGAAACATCGAAGCGATGAGGAATTGACAAGATCCATAGCAATTGGTTCACAAGAACAAATCTTCCGAGAGTGATACCCATCCTTCCATTTACCAAGGGTTGTGAAATTCTTGAACCATGAAGGAGGGAGAGAGGATGGAACTTCAAAGGTGTGTTCTTGAGAAGCCGAAGCTTGAGATTTCTCAGGAAAGGCTTTCGATGGGGTTTCCTCTTCTCGAATTGGTGAATGAGAAGATGCCGAGTGTGAAGGTTCAGAGTATGGAACTTGTTTTGGGGCTTTCTTTTGGGATTTGGCTTGTTTCTTTTTCTGAGCAGGTTTAATGGCGACATGTTTTCTTTTGGGCGCCATTAAAGAAGGGGAGAGAGAGAGAAAGGAAATGGAAGAGTGTAGAAGAGGAGAAGACAGAGGTAACAGAGGAGAGAGAAAGTGAAATGTTTTTGGCGGATGAGAGAGAAGGAGTGAATGCAGGCAAGTATTTATAGGTACGGGATAGTAAAATATTTTTCAAAACAGATTAAAAAGATAAAAAGGTGAAAAGGTGCGACTGTTTAAAAATCAAATAGATTAAATGAATGTACGAGTTTTGAAAACGTTTTCAAAAGAAATAATAAATAAGTACATTGAATGAGAATTCACGAGAATAATCACCAAGTACTGTTCCAGATTTATTTATTTTTCGGCAGTTTTACGTCAAGGCCTTGAAATATAGTTCAGGGCTCTGAAGTAATTTACACTGAACACAAAAACAACTACTTAAAGCAATTAAATAAATTAAGTAACGTACCTTGGCTCCCCCTACGAAGTTGCATCCTTATTTAGCATTCCCAACTCAAGCCGTATAAAATTAAATCTTTCTTCACTCAAAGGCTTGGTAAATATGTCAGCAATTTGAAAATTTCTAGGAATGAAAGAGATAGAAATGTCACCTTTCTCCACATGATCTCTTAAGAAATGATGTCGAACATCAATATGTTTGGTTCGAGAGTGCTGCACAGGATTCTTAGCAATTGATATAGCACTGGTATTATCACACTTTAAAGGAATTCCTGTATAGTTAAGGCCCAAATCTTTAAGCTGTTGAGATATCCACAATATTTGTGAACAACAAGCACCGGCTGCAATGTATTCAGCTTCTGCAGTTGATAAAGCTACGGAATTTTGTTTCTTAGAGTGCCAACTTATGAGAGATGATCCAAGAAATAGGCAGCAACCTGAAGTACTTTTCCTGTTTACTTTATAACCTGCAAAATCAGCATCCGAATACCCAACAAGCTCAAAGTTGCTATTTTTAGGATACCAAAGACCGAAGTCTTTAGTTCCATTCAAATACCTTAAAATACGTTTAACAGCACTTAAGTGTGATTCCTTAGGATCAGCTTGAAAACGTGCACACATACAAACACTAAACATAATATCAGGTCGACTTGCTGTTAAATAAAGAAGAGATCCAATTATACCTCGATATTGCTTTTGATTTACTGATTTACCATTCTCATCTTTGTCTAAAGATAGTGATGAACTCATAGGAGTTTTTGCTTCTTTGGATTGTAGCATATCATATTTCTTAAGGAGCTCTCTAGTATATTTGCCTTGATTCACAAAGATGCCTCCTTTATCTTGTTTGATTTGCAATCCAAGAAAGAAATTGAGTTCACCCATTAAGCTCATTTCGAATTCCCTGCACATTATATCAGAAAATTCCTTGCAAAGGGAATCATTAGTAGCACCGAACAAAATGTCATCAACATAAATTTGCACAATCAGTAAGTCACTTGCTTTGATTTTAACAAACAGAGTTTTGTCAACTTGACCACGTTTAAAACCGTTTTCCAAAAGATATTTTGATAAACGTTCATACCAAGCCCTTGGGGCTTGTTTCAGACCGTATAAAGCTTTATCAAGTTTGTAAACATGGTCAGGAAAAGATTCATTTTCAAAACCAGGAGGTTGTTCTACATAAACTTCCTCTTTTAGAAAACCATTTAAAAAGGCACATTTTACATCCATTTGAAATAGTTTGATACGCATAAAGGATGCAAAAGCAAGTAAAATTCTGATTGCTTCCATACGTGCAACAGGTGCAAAAGTTTCCTCATAATCAATACCTTTTTCTTGATTGTAGCCTTGAGCTACTAACCTTGCCTTATTTCGAGCAATTTTACCATTTTCATCCAACTTGTTTCTGAAAACCCATCTTGTTCCAATTACTGATTTTCCTTTGGGCCTTGGAGTCAAATTCCAGACTTTGTTTCTCTCGAACTCATTTAGCTCACTTTGCATAGCAATAATCCAATCCGGTTCATGCAAGGCTTCTTTGACATTTTTTGGTTCGACAAGGGAAACAAAGGCATGAAAGGCACAAAGAGACTTTAAGTTTGCTCTGGTTTGGATTCCAGATTTTGGGTCAGAAATGATTTTATCAAGAGGATGAGATGAGGCATGTTTGAATTTTCTGCGCATTAGTAAGGGGGTAGCAGAAGGTTCTTGGAGTACTGTTTCAAGACCATGAGATGAATTTTGGCTAGATTCAGGTTCGGGTTCAGGTTCAAGGTCTTGAGATGAGCTTTCAGGGCTTTGAGGAGGAGAAACAGAGGATTGATTTAATTCTCTTGTGGTTTGAATGGGTTCTTGGATGTTCTGGGTAGGGCGCATTGCTGGAGCCTCTGCTGCTTCTTTATCACTTTCATCATCTGTTTCTGGTTCCTCGTATCTGTTCAACCTTAGACCTGTAAAACTTTCACTCAAAGTATCCTTTTCGGATTCGTCAAAAATAACATGTATGCTTTCTTCAACAAGCTTAGTTCGCTTGTTAAAGACTCTATATGCTTTAGAAACAGAAGAGTATCCTAAGAAAAAAGCTTCATCACTACGTGCATCAAATTTCCCAAGGTTATCTTTGCCATTATTATGAACAAAGCAAGTACATCCAAATGGTTTTAGATGAGCTATATTGGGCTTCCTTCCTTTAAAAAGCTCATATGGAGTTTTCTTTAAAATAGGGCGAATTAAACAACGGTTTGAAACATAGTTAGCTGTGTTTACAGCTTCTGCCCAAAAATATTTTGGTAAAGCATTTTCCAAAAGCATGGTCCTGGACAGATCCTCAAGGGTGCGGTTCTTGCGTTCCACAACCCCATTTTGTTGAGGTGTCCTTGGAGCTGAAAAGTTGTGAGAAATACCATATTTAGAGCAAAACTTTTCAAAATTGATTTGATCAAATTCTCTACCATGGTCGCTTCTCACAGCTACCACAGGTAGGTTTTTCTCAGTTTAAACTTCTTTGCAAAGTTTTGAAAACTCCAACAAAGCTTCTGATTTTCTCTTTAAAATGAAACCCAAGTAAAACGAGAATAGTCATCAACAACCACAAGGATATACTGTTTTCCTTTTGGAGTTTTGACACGCATAGGACCACATAAATCAATATGTAAAAGTTCAAGGGGTTTAGAGGTACTTACAACCTTTTTGGTCTTAAAAGAGCCTTTAACCTGTTTACCTCTAGCACATGCTTTGCACATCCCTTTTTCTTTGAAATTTAATTCAGGCAAGCCACGTACTAAACTCTGTATTGACAGCTTTTTCATAGTATGCATGTTAATATGTCCAAGTCTTCTGTGCCAAAGCCTTGTATTTTCAGTCAGGGCCTTGAGACACTTTAGACTAGAACTTTCAACAAGATTAGAATGAAACGAATACACATCATTATTTCTAGGAGCAGTTAGAATGATCTTACCACCTTTGTCACGCACTTCACATTTTTCATTATCAAATATTACCTTGTTGCCTTTGTCGCACAGTTGAGAGATGCTTAAAAGATTGTACTTCAATCCATCAACTAGATAGAAATCATCAATGGAGTTAAATGCATCACCTCCAACTTTGCCAATGCCAACGATATTGCACTTCTTTTTATCTCCAAGGGTTATTGTTCCACATAGATTAGTTTCAACCTTAGAGAATAGAGCAGAATTTCCACTCATGTGCCGAGAACATCCACTATCTAAAATCCATCTATAATATTTCTTTTTCAAGCTCTCCTGCAAAATAACAAGTTATCAAACCTTTCTAGACCAAACTGCAAATTTGGAGTCATATTCGGGATAAACCATGTTTGGTGGTCTAGTTCCCTTAACTACCCAGATTTGCTTAATTTGGTCTCGAGTAAAATAAGGAAATGAATTTTTGATAATATGAGGATCTTTCCTTTTGAAAGGACAGGTAAGCTTGGTATGACCTTTTTTGCAACAATAAAAACAGGTAGGACCATTAAAACTTCCTTTTGCTTTAACAAAAACAGTAGGTTTCTTTTTGTGAAGATATTTGTTAAAACCAAGTCCAGTTTTGTCTCTGGATCCTCGAGCTTTGTCCAAAATTTTGTCAAAATCATTTTCAGAGTTTGAAATTTTACTTAAAAGAATTTGCTGATTTGAACACTTTTCAAAAAGACATCTCTTCTCATTTTCAAGACTGTAATTACAGTAATTCAGAGAAGTGAGTTTTTGTTTCAAGACACTGTTCTCGGTTTTCAAGGCCTTGGTCGGAGAATCAGAATCTTTGACCTTGTTTTCGAGAGCTGTATAAGCTTCTTTTAAAACAGAAATTTCTTTGGTTAAGTTCTCAGTAGTTTTAACTTGCGTACTGAGTTTTTCTTTCAAAATTTTTGACTCTTGAATCAAGCTTTCCTCATTGATAATCATATTATGCAAGAATTCAGAAAGAATATTTGAAGGACTAGACATGAGGTTAATTTCAATTACCTGAAGATGTTCCTCTTTTGAAGTGTCTTTTTCTGCCATTAGACATAGGTTGGCTTGATCATCATCATCTGAATCACTTGAGTCAGAATCGCTCCAAGATGCCACCACAGCCTTTTTCTTGAATTCCTTTTTGTAGGGCTTAGACTTCTTTCTTTGAGGACAATCTCGTACAAGATGATCTTCTTCACCACATTCATAGCATTTCAAGGTATTGAGTTTGTTGTATGTCTTTCCCTTAGGCTTTTCTTGGCGATTGCTGTATCGATCAGATTTCCCATGATTTCATTCTTTTGAGAACTTCTTCTTCATCTTGAGGATTTTGGTAAGACTTCTTGAGAGAAGAGCAAAGGGGTCTTCATCATCATCATCTTCATCCGAATCTTCCTCTATCTCTTCTTCTTTCTTGGCTTTGAGAGCTAGCCCCTTTGTGGATGAGGCAGGCTCTCCATCTTCTTCATCAAAGGACATTTCATGGGTAATTAATTTTCCCAATAGATCATCAAGAGGAAGGATTCTTAGATCTTGAGCTTCTTCAATTGCTGTAACTTTAGGACCCCACTTTGCTTTTGGAAGAAATCGAAGGATCTTTCTCACTTTTTCTTCATTTGAGAAAGACCTGCCTAGAGAATCAAGATTGTTAATAATTTGAGTGAATCTAGTAAACATTTCTTTAATAGATTCATTAGAGAGCATTTTAAAAAGTTCATATTGTCGAAGGAAAATGCTAATTTTGGTCTCCTTGACTTGGCTTGTTCCTTCATATGTGACCACGAGCTTATCCCATATCTCCTTGGCACTTTTGCATGTAGACACACGGTTGAATTCATTAGCATCTAGTCCACAATACAACAAGTTCATAGCACGATAATTCTTTGCAACACTTTCAAGGTCCGTTTGGTTGAACTCAACATCATTCTTGGGAACAGCTACTCCACTTTCAGTGGTCTTCATAGGAACTTTAGGACCCTTCTTAATAATCTCCCAAAGTTCAAGGTCTTGATCAATCACGAACATTTGCATTAACGACCTCCAATGAGCAAAGTTGTTGCCACAAAAGAGAGGAGGGCGATTTGCGAATCGACCTTGAGCGAAGCCTCCATCACCAATGGAATTCATCTTCACAGATTGTTAGATCTTTACGTGAATACCTGCTCTGATACCAAATGAAAGGATCACAATGGTAATGGAATAAACATATTAATACTCTAGAAGGGGGGGTTGAATAGAGTATGGGCGTTTTTCGCAAAACTGAAAATGTCAAGGCCTTGAGATCAGTTACAGGGCGGAATAAACTGATCTCTGTTTTATAAATCAAGACTTTGAAAACTATTTAAAGTAAACCAGTTAGTAAGCAGAAGGTTATAAACGTTTGTTTTGGATTTCGCTAAAACTGTTTGAAACAAAGAACGAAAATCAGAACAAGGCAAAAAATAAAAACAGAAATAAACACAAGGAATTGTTACGAAGTTTAGCACAAAGGCCTACGTCTCCGCCTAGGGTTGTCCAACCCGTAGGATTTTAACCAACTTTTATTTTTTCCCTTAGAGTTCTAAAGCAACCTAGAAGATCTCACTATCTTCTCTTTGTAGTACTTCCCACTACACCTTAGACACTCAAATCCTAGAAATAAATGCTAACACACTCAAATAACTTCGAGTATTATAATTTTACTACGAAGTGTATCACTCAAAATTACAATGTTTAGCACAAGTGAACACTCGTATTTTTCCCTCACTTTTAAATAATAAAAAGTAGTAAACAATGAGAGAATTAAAGCTCTTAGAATAGCACAAGATTTCTTGAAAGACTTGGATAATAAAACCGGCTGATCTTCATGCTATTTATAAGGCTTTGAAGCTGACTTTAAAACGTTTCCAGCAGTCTCTGGGTCTTCAACAAACTCCAGAAATTTCGAAGCTTTCAAAATTAAACTTCAAAGCTGTATTTTAAATTCAACGTTTATCTTCCAGCTAGAAATTTGTTACAGCATACTTAGCTTCCTAAAAACCAGGTCAACAAGCACAAGTAACAACAATATTTATCTTAAACAGAAAACTTATCATGTCAGCCAAATAATAAGATAGATAAATGAATACATTTGACAGAAAATTATCTTTACAACATAAAGATAACATCAGTTACTAAAAAAAATAATAAAATATAAACATGCTTAGCAGAATATACGAATAGGTTAGCATACTTAGCAGGATATATTCGAATATAAATTGACAGAACCATAAAATAAACTAAGATAAATAAACTAAGCATATTAGTATATTAAATAAACATTGACTATTCATTTTGACTTCCATCATCCAATATAAGACTAAGTAAGAAAATAAACGAAACAACAAGGTGGAGTCATCAAAAAGCTTAGTATAAAACAAAAAAAAAAAAAAACAAAAATATAAAATAAGAGGTTTAATAAGTAAGATATGTATACAAAAAGTGGGGAAATCAACGAAAACTGACGAAAATAATTAAACACATGAATTTTACAACTTTTTATTACAACTTTGATTTGCATCATTTTACAACATTTCTGCCATGCAACCAAGATACAAATATAAAGCACACTAATAATGTAAGGTTCGACATTGTTATTAAAAATATGACATAGGGCTAATAAAGATGATTTGCATACATGCATGCACACGCATAGCACTATTACAAAGACCAATAGTTTAAGAATAATCTCACAAGCAATAATGTCAAATCAACTAAACATCGTATTTGGTTACATCATGATCCCAATGTTCGTTTATTCAATAACAAGCTTCCTACGCTTGTATCGTATCATCACCTTTCCTTTAGGACTATGTATTATGTCATCGCATTTGGTCTCCGGGAATGAAGAAATCAACTCGAGCTCAAAGTTCCGAATCAAATAGCTCCATATAGTCTTTAACTCCAAGAATGCGAAGGACTCGCCGAGGCAGCTATGTTTTCCTCCTCCAAAAGATATGAAAGAGAACGGGCCAGCTAATTTATCCTCCTCTCTTCCGGGGCAGAACCTTTCAGGATCGTGACTATCAGGATTTTTGTAAATATGTGGAACACGATTAGACAAAATTGGTGAGACGGCGATTATATGGCCTTTTGGTATGTCGTACTTGTCACCCTTTCGAATAGTCACAGTGAAATCTTTATGAGATTGACGCAATAGCATCGGAATTGGTGGGTGTAGCCTCAATGCTTCCTTGATGCAACGATACAATACATGCATTTCAGATAGTGCATCATAAGTTATCGCGTCACCATACTTCTTCATCAACCTAATCTGCTCTTCCATTGCATGCAACCAAAATTTCTTATGATAAAAAAGATTAGCACCTACCCAAGTGGCCGTAGTAGAACTCGAACGCTGACCGCCATAGAGGGCAGTAATGAGCATACCTGTGACCTCTGTAACGGTTGTGGCACGACCATCTTTGTACTTTGAATTAACAAGACTCTGCAGCATGTCATCCTCGGATTTTGGAGACGATCTACGAGATAATATTACTTTAGAGAAAATATCATCAAGTCTCTTACGTGCTTTGTCGCGGCGCCGATGAGGTGGTATGGGTAGATGAGGGAACATTGTTGTCAGAGGACCCATTGCAACATTGATTTCATTGATAAGGGCAGTTACATCTTCTGAGAGATTTTCGCGTACTTCTCGACCAAGAAAACATCTACTGGCTATTAAGATGATGAGATTCTCCATTTCTTGTTTTAAATCTACCTCTCCACTATCTCCCCACTTGGAAAAACAGATCTGTATAGTGTATAGCATAGAATTTAATGAGAATCATTGACTATTATTATCACAATAATACCACTTTGTATGTGGATTGAGTATTGGAAAACGAGAAAATAGAATAGAATCACATAACATGCTTATAGTAATTCATAAATGTGGTCTTATGATGATGATAACACAATCTTACACAAATATTTGATATATATTATTTTGTATACAAACCACAAACAATAGTGGTACCAATTTTTCGAAGTATAACTTTTACTCTCTCTAATTTAAAACAGTTGCATGACTTTATGATGTACTTATCAAGTTATCAATGCATATACTTGATCATTAATATCGTTTGTAGTCTATCATATATATGTGCATTGTGACTAATAATCCACTAATGACAATTTAGATAGTCATACTCCTCTTTTTTTTTATACTTTTAACAATTCTCTTTTCACCCTTGCCAATATATTATTTCAATGCTAATGTATTTAACGGATTTTTCACCATATACCCATGAGTAATTTTTTTATTCACCATATACCCATAATTTTTTTCAAAATTCACCATATATCCACGAATTTCACGAAAATGTCACAAAATGCCCTTAATGACTGACGGCGGTTAACTCTGTTAGTCATTAGGGTTAATTATGCTATGTGGCAGCATCATATTGGTTGCTTTTGAAATTAGTTAACTAATTATTAAAAAATTAAAAAAAAAAACCTTCTAAATGTTTTTTTTTTTTAAATTTAACCCAGCCCAATGTCCCCCGCCAGTCGACACTCAGCCCCCTCCCACCAAGTCGTTATCGGCGCTTAGCTCCTCTATCGCCGGCAATCCCAGGCCACCCCCTAACCTAGCTTTTCTCCCACCATGACACCCTACCCTCCTATCTTTCCCTACTGGACACCACTCCCTGCCCCCTTTGCCCCATCGGAAGCCTTAAATTGACCCTTACTCTTCCCCTACTTCTCTTTCCCCAAAAAACCGCTTGTTATCAAACCATTCGAGTAATTCGGAATTGAAGTTAAAACGTTTCAACTAAAAGGAAGTAGATCGAGAAAGTATCTCTTATATATTTACTAGTATAAAAGTTATAAAAATTGATATTTGAGTGAAAGTGTTGACACACATTAAAAGTGTATAAAAGTATTGGAAAGTGTATCCACATTGAAGAAGTAAGAAAGTCCACTAGTAGAAAAATAAAAATGAGCAACGATAAATGAGCACCGGTTTTCGAAACCGGTGCATAAAACGCAACCCATATCCCAAAAAGTTTAAAATTGTTTTCAAAGAAGTTAATGGCACCGGTTAACCGGTGCTTTTAATTTTTAAAATAAAAATAGATACTTGCATTCACTCTTCCTATCTCCTTTTCTCTCCCTATCTCGCATTCAACTCTCTATCTATCTCTCTATCTCTCTCTCCCTCTCCCTTTCTATCTCCTCCTCTCCCTCTCTCGACTCCACCGCCGCCCCTTCCACCGCCGCTAGCCCACTTCCTCCTCCTCTCTCTCTCTCTGTTGTTCTGTATTTCTTCTCTCTCCTTATTCACTAGTGGTGTCACGATGGTGGCGACAATGGTGACGGTTTCGGTACTTTGATTTTCTTCTCTCTCCAATTCTTCATGGCTTCCATATCTACCCACTTGTTTTTACTTCATTGTTATACTCACATTCGAGTTTAGGGTTCTCTTTTGATTTGTGGATTTAGTGTTAGGGTACAAGGTAAAGGGAGGGAAGAACAGGAAGAGAGATAATTTTTGGATCTGAATTTTTTAATTTTACACATTTTCGCTTTGTATTGCTAATTTATGTGCTTATTTTAGTAGTAATTCGTTTAATTATTGATTTTTGTTAGATTTAGAGTTTAGGGTTTTGGTTGACTGTGTTTGATTATCGTATGTTAGATTTTAGGGTTTACTAGCTCTTAATTTAGGGCCATGAATTTTGATGTTTTTCATTTTTGTAAGTTTATGTCGTTGGATTATTATGAATTTGGTGCTTAGTTTTGCTTTGAAATCAATGAAATTATGACATTATGATGGTTACTATGATGAATTAATTGTTCAATTTCTACTGTTGTTCATATTTTTAATCATTTATTTGGATGATTATGAGAAGATTTATACGATTGATATGAATTTATATATGTTGGTTAAATCTTTTATTATTTAGGAAAAATTGACAAGAATAATCCCAACTTTGCCTCATTCGCCCAAAATAATTACAACTTTGCATTATTTTTTAATAATTCGAACTTTGATATGAATTTGCTTTCAATTGTCCCAATAGGTCATCAAACTTGTTATAATAATTTTCTTAACACATGTTGGCACATGAGTGGACAAAAAAATAAAAATAAATAAAATAATTTATAAAATTATTTTATAAGAATATAAAAATAAATTAGTATTTAATTAATAGAAAAACCACCCACCAGCTCAACCACCCTCCCCGCCCCTTGCCATCCCGACCCCTGCCTCCGGCTGCACCCAACTTCCAGATCCCCCAGCGCCGATCCCCCACCCCCTGAATCATTCACCCACGCCACCCAAACCAAACCCCCTTTCCCGTCCTGGAAAAATACACCTCCCTTCTCAAGCGCTCTTCCTCTCTTCTCACTTGTTGGATGAGCTGTTCTTGTTCCTTCTCGAGATTCAGGATCCGTTCTATAACTGGCTCTGTTGGCATGCCCCGCTCTTCGTGCTAGCACACTTGGCGTTCGAACTCAGCAAATTCACCCTCAATATGATCAATTATCTTCTGCAATAGTTGTATCCCTGAGGAGTGATAATAGTAGCGGTCTTCATGTTTCACGGCTGGAACATCGGCATTCACTGTAGCAGTGGGTCGTTCGCTCCAACTCTTATCTCTTTCTACAACAGCAGACCATTAGCGGCTGGACATCAAGGTTTGGAGAGTCGACCCTACCCAGATCTGAGTAAGGGTGGTTTCGGTTTAGGTGGGGGTTAGGGTTTCGGGTGTGGGTGGTTTCGGTTCAGTTGGTGGCGGTTGAGGGAGGTTTTAGTTCAGGTTGTGGTGGGCGAGTGAGGAGAGAAAAGGATGAGGTTCTGGACTTCTGGTAGTTATGGCGAGTGAAAAGAGAGAAAGATGAGGTTTCGGTTCAGGTAGGTAAGGTGAGGAAGGTGTGCGGCTGGTGGCTCAAGGGAGGAAGGGTGGTGGAGGTGGCTGGGTTGGCGTTTGGTGTTGGTGGTTGGGGTTAATTTAGTATTTTTTTAGTATTTTGAAAATAGATTTTTGTTATTTAATTTTTAAAGTAGTTAATTAAGTGTTAATAATTTTTAAACTTATTTTTTACTAATCACGTGGTGACACGTGTTACTTAAACTTAAAAAAAAAATTACCTACTCAACTGGTTACCGGTCATTTGGGACCATTAGAAGCAAATTCATATTAAAGTTCGAATTATTAAAAAAATAATCAAAAGTTGGGATTATTTTGGGCGAATGAGGCAACATTGGATTATTCTAGGCAATTTTTCCGATTATTTATGTAGTTATTTGTTGATTTTCTTGCAGCAATTATTTATTAATTATAATTGATGGAATATTTCTGAAATTTTGCTATTTGATGGATTATTCAGGATGCTCTATTGCCTATAATGGACGCTACATTCAGGATGCTCTATTGTCTACAATGGATTATTCAGGATGCTCTATTGCCTACAATGGACGCAACAATTCTCTTATGTGTTGCTGCTTTGAAGCTGCTACCATACTGTTTACTAATTGTGATGCTGTTGTTCTGCTACTGGGGTGCTGCTGCTATGCTATTGATTGTAGGAAGTTGTTGCTGCTCTTGTTATGGTGAATATATCCAATGTATTTTTTTTTCTTTCTTTTTAAGTGTAAAATTACAGGCTATCAATGAAATTATCAGTTTCAAGTATATTATGTATATATATAATGCTAGTATAATAATAGTCCAAGTGAGGTTAGACGATTAGTAGGGGAGAATAATAATATTATACGAAATAATACATTTTTTTTATATACATAATAGTAATATAATATCATAATAATATATTATAATAGTAGGTCCTAATAAAAATAAAATAAAATAAAAGTGTTGATTAAAAAAATTGACAAATAAAATTGTTACATTGATAATTTACAAAAATGAAAAAGAAAAGTGTTACTCCATACCATTAATCTATCAGAAACACGAAAAATTGTAAATTTTACTAAATGTTGATATTATTTGAATAAGTTCTTATTTGGTGGTAGCGTTTGAGGTAGCGGTTAGCCATTTGATCAGTTAAAACACTCCTAGAAAAAATTTGATAGTGTTTAATTTGGCAAGGTAGCGATTCTAGTAGCGGTTAACGATAGAGGTAGCGTTTAGGTAGCTTTTCTCAAACGTTAAAAATAGTAGCATTTAGAAGTAGCGGGTAGCGTTTGACAAATTTTTATTACATTTTAAACAAATATCTATATGAATTTAGTATTGCAACCGCTACTTTTACTAAACACTCATACTATCAACCGTTACTTTGACAGCTAATCTCTACCCACTATTAATTGACCGATACTCGCTACCTTAACAGCTACCCGCTACTCGACCGCTAAAAGCTACCCGCTACTGCTACTTTTGCCAAACAGGACCTAAATATATAGCGGGATTAATTATCCTGTACAAAATAACAATTATATATATATATATATATATATATATATATATATATATATATATATATAGATTATACGAAAAATACATTTTAATAATCCCAACTTTAATTAATTTACTTTAAATAATCCCAACTTTTGATTATTCTGCAATAATCCCAACTTTCCCCTCCGTTTTCTTCTAACAGGTCAACAAAAGTCAACAACCTATTATTGTAGGTAATTTTCCTGTCGGCGTGTGAGAGGTCCAATAAAAATAAAAAAAATAAAAAAAACGGAAAAATTAAACAGCCCCTACCCTGCCCGACAGCCACAGCCACCCCCTTACCCAAGCTTCAGCCCTGACAACCGCCTCGTCCTCCAGTCCTACCACCAAAACCACCCTCCTTCCACAGCCACATGACCGCAATAGACTCCCTCTCCCCAGCCCCACCCACCAAAACCGCCCTACACTTCAACCCGCCACCCCGAAACCACCCGAAATTGCCCTAAAGTCAAACCTCGAAAATCTAAACGAAAGCTTTCCGCCCTAAATGAAAGCTTTCCCTGCCCGAAAACTTCCGTCCACCTATTTTAACTGGTGTTTAAGTGGTGGTGGACCACCAGATTTAGGGTGTGGAATGGAGAGAGAAAGAAATGGGGAAAGGGAAGGTGCCAGATTTTAGGGTGGGCCAGATTTGGAGGGGATGGGGCTGGGAAGGGCGGTTTTCTGATAGGCTGGGAAGGGCGTAGTTTTTCCGGCGAGCACGGAGGGGGGAGTTTGCCCGGCGGGCTGGGAAGAGGAAAGGAGTTTGTCGATTTTTTTTTTAATTTTTAATTTTTGTGTTATAATTTTTTGGACCAGTAAATGTGTGACACGTGGCATATTAGAAAAACAAAAAAAAATCAACCTTTCCAACAGGTTGTCGGTTTTTGGAATAGAAGAAAAGAAAACGGGGGTGGAATTTGGAATTATTGCAGAATAAAAAAAAATTGGGATTATTTAAATTAAATTGGATAAAATTGGGATTATTAAAGTGTATTTATAGAAGTAAATAAAGTTAATATATGAAGAATGCAAATAGAGTATTCGAAATCAAGTGATAAGTTTTTATGCTAGTCCATATACGCGTGAATATTTTTATTGAGGAACAGAGAGCGTAACAAAGATAGAGAAAATAAAATAAAAACCAGACCTGGACTTCTTGGCTCATATAATCAACAAAGCCACGGAGTTTATCAATTCGAAAAGACTCCTCGAAGAAGTGAAACTGCTCCTTACGCACTGAATACTCGGCGTCATACACGATCCCAGGTCCAAAGATAGGCACGGTGAACCCGTACACTTCTTTCTGACTGAGCTCACTCTCGCCGGCCTTGAAGAAATAAGCCGATACATCGGGTTCGAGCAGGAACGTTATATTCTTGTACACTGCATTTATAGTGAATACACTTCCAAGGCTTTCATACTCCTCCTTGAGCATCTCTACAGGGTTCGCTACGAAGCGAGCCACGCCCCCGATCAAAGGAATCCGCCCTTTCACCACTGGTGGTAGCCGTTTGCTGCTCTTGATTAACAGAGTTTTGAGTATTAATTTTGTTGCTACAATAGTTGCCACGATGAGAAAGAATACATTGAACAATTGCAGCTTATTGTTCATCATATCTATTATTTTCTTGATGTTTATTTGGGTTATTCAATTACTAGTTAACTGCATTATACGAAGTATATATATTACGGATTACGGATTACTACTCTACTCTTAATAAAATATAGGTATGTGATATTTTGGGAAGACAATGTATCGTTTCCAAGCAAAGCACTGCAACAACTTAATAAAATATAGGTATGTGATATTTTGGGAAGACAATGTATCGTTTCCAGCAAAGCACTGCAACAACTTAATATTTGTGTTTAAATGACGCTGACGCGTTGGGTTTTTTAAAGTTTTATTGATGGAATTATGTGAGTTAGTTGAGTTCAAAATACTTAATACTAGGTGTGAACTACGCACGGCTTTGTTTTTTATTTTATTTTATTATTATTATTATTTAAGATTTGTATCTTTTTTTATAATAATAATTATTATAAAAAACAGATAAAGTCATAAATAAACAGACATTTATTATTATTATTATTATTATTATTATTATTAATAAACTATTGCAATTAATTAAAAACTTCTTTTTATTAATAAGATATTAAAACAAAATAAATTTGTGAGGTTCAAATAGAATTCTCTCTTCTACACCTCTATGTAGAGTACTCTTTTATTTTTCTGTAGTTTTGGTATATGTATCTTGGGTATCCTGTGAATGACGCTGGCAGGATTATCCTATTCCCCTCTTCAGCCCTAATTATCTTGGGTATCCTATGAATGACGCTGGCAGGATTATCCTATTCCCTTCTTCAGCCCCAATTATCTTGGGTATCCTGTGAATGATGCTGGCAGGATTATCCTATTCCCCTTTTCAGTCCCAATTATGTAGTGTGTAGGGTATATCGTTTCTTTGTAATTCAGGTACATGTTTCTTGTGCCTCTGGTGAATGACGGTGACAAGATTAATTTTTTTAACTCTCCAACCTTAGTTGTATCTTTGTTTACCATTGCATCCCCGAAGGTATTGTAAATTTCAATTTGTGAAGGCATGATACTTGGGTCTCCGACTATGAAAAGAAACCAATTAATATTTTTCTATGAATTGTGTGGTTAATTAATAGTGCATGTACAGTGAATTAAATTAAGGCCTATTTATAAGGAAATACAATAAATCATATCTTCTCTACATAAATTTTATCATTCTTTGTAATCTAATCCTTTTTTTTTTTTTTTTTTTTGAAAGAGTAATCTAATCCTTTTTAATTGTTATCCATATCATTATTTTTTTTCGTTTTGTTTTTTTTTTGTATATCATACTACGTTTAAGTATTTCAGATATTAGTGATATTAATTATCATAAATAATTTTTATATACAGTTACGGTTTTACGGCTGCATTAACTATATTATTAATGACACTATTTGGAAAAGGTGAATGGCCTTGTTTATAGACACTTACTTTATGCTAGTATGCAAGTGGAGACAAAAGATAAGAACCCCATTATATTTGTAACAACTACCAAATAAAGTTGAGAAGTTGATATGGAACAATTATGCTGACTATATTACTATGTCATACAAAGTATTAACTAAAAGGAAGGCAAATTCATTTTACATTACCTATTTCTTAATATAAATTTGATCATTTTTTTTTAGGAAAAATTGCGAGGAAGGTCCTTTTAAGGAGTCGACCTTGTGAGCAAGGTCCTTTTATGAACAGGGTGGTGAGGAAGGTCCTTTTATGACGTTTGGGTTGCGTGGAGGGTCCTTTGACCAAACTCCGGCGTTGACTTCCATTTTCCGGCCAAAAAAAAGTCACGTGCTGTGCACGTGACCTCTTAAATCTGATTTTTTTTTTTCTTTTTTCCCTTTTCCTTCCCTTTCCCTCTCATCTTCAATCACCACCGTTTATCATCATTAACAATCATGTGCGAGTCTCGTGATAAGGTTCAAATTGAACCCAAATTGGGGCTTTTGAGGGCCGAATCGCAGCTGCAATTAGTGCGGTGTTGGGCGGTTTTGATTGATGCATTGTCAGGTGATCAGGACTTTAGTGAAGACTGCGATTTTGTGGGTTGCTAGGTGCGGTGGAGTGCAGGAAAAGAAGATGGAAATGGGTGGCTGCAGCTGCGAAGCTGGGTTGTTGCGAGCTGGCTGTTGAGTGGCTGATCGCTGCTCTTGCGCTACTGTTGGTGGCTTGCGGTTGAGGTGGTGCAGTGATGATGGTGGTTGGTGGATGCGGTGAATAGGAGGTTTAGGGGCTGATTTGAGTGGTAATTTGGGCGGTCAAATGATGAATGGTGGTTCGGTTTGGTACTGGAAATTGCTGGTTGAGGTGGTCCACATTAGAGCAGGGGCTGCAGTTGTTGGAGTCGTGTGGGGGCGTAGCACCAGTTCGGTGTTGTGGTGGAGATGGTGAATTGGTTGCGGAGCGGCGGTGATTGAGAACGGTAGTGCGGTTGGTGGTGTGTAAAATAGGGGCAGCAGGTAGTTCGATGTGTGGCATGATAAGGAGAAGGAAAAGGGAAAAAAAAGAAAAAAAAAATCAGATTTAGGAGGTCACGTGACTTTTTTTTTGGCCGGAAACCGGAAGTCAATGTCGGAGTTTGGACAAAGGACCCTCCACGCAACCCAAACGTCATAAAAGGACCTTCCTCACCACTTTGTTTATAAAAGGACCTTCCTCACAAGGTCGACTCCTTAAAAGGATCTTCCTCGCAATTTTTCCTTGTGAAGCCTAGGTGGTGGTGGTGGTTAGGGTTTTCCGCAACATTTACCAAAAAAAAAAAACAACCAAAAAAACGAGACTTACCTACACCGGCGGCGTCCAATCGGCGGCTGGTGGTGGAGGCGCATTCTCCTTCTTTCTTTCTCTTTCTCCCTTTCTCTCTCTTCCTCTTTCTCCCTTTCCCTCTCTTCCTGTTTCTGTTCTTTCTTTTCTGCCGCAAAACAAGTATTAAACTCCAGTTTTTTTTTTAATTTGCTTTAACCTTCCGATGGAATAAATTCCCTCGGAATTGCCTTTTTCCGACGGAACATTCCCTCGGAACTTGAAATTTCCAAGGGAATTTAAATCCGTCGGAATAATTCCAACGGATTTTTCCGTCGGAAGGTACCGTTTCCGACGGATTTTTCCGACAACTCTATTTTCCGCCGGAAATTTTGAATTTTCCTACAAAATTTCAGTCCATCGGGGCAATTCCGTCGGAATTAAGCCTATTTCTGGTAGTGGTTGCCCACACCAAAGGCACGGGTTGCTGCTGCTACGTAGCCCTGCTGCCCCTCTCGTCTTGCATTCCCTCGACATTGCTACTGCTACTTCACACAGCACCACCATCACATCTCTCCCTCTCACGACCCCGCATTCCTTCTCTTTGTCCCTCTCAAATTAGGGTGAGTTCATGCCTAATCTTACTACCTTATCTATTTTTTCTCAACAATTTCCCAAATTTTAGGGTTTCAATTTTAGTTAATCATATTATATGTTAATTATTTTATTAATTATTTGTATACATAATGTTATTCCCCACGTGTTTTATTAACCAAAGGCACGTGTTTCGAATGTAAACAATGCAATTAATAATTATTCCCCACATTACTGTCATGAAGGGCACTATAGGAGAACCTTATTAGTGGATGCAATTCTGAGGCTACAGTTAGGTGGTTTTGCCTCGAGCAGACCTCCATTACCAGATGCTTATGCAACCCTCATGACGTGGAAGATTACCTGGAACGGAGTATTAAGGAATCAACGCGTGCGGGAGATAAGTTCATATTAGCCCTATGTTTTGAGGAGTACCTCTAAAAATGTCATAATTCAGTTGTTATTTTTTTCCACATTCTGAAAATGCAGTTAACTGTGGAGTGTATATGTTGACGTTTTCTAAATACATTATGCAGTGCTCATTGGATCCTTTTAGTGATTTGTGTTTCCAATAACACAATCTACCACTTTGATTCAGCTCGTGAGAATCCACTACGAAAGCTGCTAGTGAAGAACCTACTGAATAGGTACATATTGCTTCCTATTGTTGATTGACCTCACCTAAATTATTGAGTATTTATGTTTCTAACTTTGAACTTATTTTCCTAAGTGTTATGAAGAAGCTAAATTGTCGTTCTGTTGCGGGTCCTACGTGGAAATATGCAAAGGTAATGCCTTGAGTTAGTGATATGCTTAATTAACTTGGCTTCGGTTATGGCTATGCATGATTAGATTACCTTTGTGGCATGTCAGTGTGCGCAACAAGACAATGGACTTCATTGTGCCCTATACGTGATGAGGTTTATGCTTGACATAGTCACTAGTTGCACGGAAGCACAACACCTTGATGAGGTATGCTTTTATTATCTTCAATCTATTACTTGCTTTCATTATTGCACCGAACAAAACACAAGCATAACACACAACCCATGAAGCTGCAGCAGCCTAGGCAGGCCAGGAGCCAAGGCACCAGCCCAGGCAAGCTGGCCAGGCAGCTGCAGGCAGCCCAGGCAGGAACCAGCCCAGGCCAGGCAGCAGCCCGGGCAAGGCAACACCCTAGGCCAGGCACCAGCCCAGGCCAGGCACCAGTAGGCCAGGCAGCAGCCCAGCTCAGCCCAGGCAGCAGCCCCTACACTTGATTTTGGTGCAGTTCGGTGATTTTGGTGATTTTCGGTGAATGTGGTGAATTTCTTGCCTAATTGTTTGTGAATTTTGATGCCTAAGTGTTTGCGGATTTTGGTGACTAATTTTGAAATATTTGACATACATTTGATGTGATACTCATGACAATGATGTTTGGTTTTTTTTTTCTCTAAAGGTTTGCAAGATTCAAAGGGAAGGCCCGTTAACAAGCAAGGAAATCAATGAAATTCGCGACATGTGGGCTTTTTTCGTGACATTTGATGGCAACTAGAATTGTCGGAGTGGTTATATTAGTTTGTTAGATTGACTTTATTAGTTATTATTATGAACATTATTTTAAGTAGTTATATATGTTTTTAATATATTAACATTAATTTATAAGTAGTACGTAGTATTTGTAAATGTTATCTTAATATATTTTGGTGTGTATTACATATTATTGTTCATTAAATATATTAATGATGTTAATTTTTATATATATAATTTTTTACATGTTATATATATCATTGTATTATTGTTTGTAATATTAATATTATTATTAATTAATAATATTAATTTTATTATTAATTAATTAATAATAATAATTTTATATCGATTAATAATATTATTTTATTATTAATTAATAATACTAAAATTATTGTGAAAGTTCACTAATAATATTATTATATTATTATTATTATTATTATTATTATTATTAATTTTTTAAAAAAAAGGCTAAATTGGAAGCGGTTTGGCGCCAAAACCGCTTTCCATTACATGATACATTTCATGTGTGAATTGGGAATTGGAAGCGGTTTGGCGCCAAAACTGCTTCCCATTCTCCATAAATGGGAAGCGG